AGTTTTTGTTTAAGAAGAGAGTTCATGTTATAACTGTATCCCTTTACTCAAAACCTTTTCTGTATCCCCAGTTTGACTGAAGTCTCCCAAGCTGTCTGCCATAAATCATTCTTAATTGTCCTTGAGCTGCCATGTGTTGAAGTGGTCAGTTAAGACCATGAACCACACTGAAAGCAGCAATCATGCTTTTTTCCATCTGCTGTGATACGCAAGTAGAGGCCAATGAGAATATCTCTGGTTCCCCAGTTCTAGTTTAAGTGTTTAATGACACTCAGCTACAGATGGGAGAAATATATCATTTGCCAGAGTCCCCAACAAATACCTTCTTATGGACCTGGTCAGGGAACGGGGAAGGCTGAAGAGCAGCAGTGCTCTGAGTCAGTTGGGGAAAGTGCCTCAGCTGAGCCATTACTAAAGAAGCACCTGGGCTAGAAATGCAGTTATGCAGAAGACATGGCAGGCCAAGAGGAGAGGGGCCTGGGTCCTTGACTACCACTCTCTCTAGAGAGCACAGCACACCACCTCCTGTGGTGTGGAGGACAGCTTCTCTCAGAGATCTAGCAAGCAAAGCCTCGTGATTGCCCATGTCTGGGCCTGAATGATCACACATAGGCACTCTGGCTGCCACAGTGGACTGGTAATATATGCAAGGCAGAGGCTTGGTTTTGCATCAGCTTGGCCACCATACTTCAGAAACAGAGCTGATCACTTTGACATTGGAAAGAATGGACAGAATCTGTGTGGTCTTTACTTTTGGGCACCTCCTCCCAAGGAGAGGGGGACGACAAATGCCCAGCCCTCCATGGAGGGTCCAGGAATTGGCTGAGTTTCTGACTGGATCACCTTCTTCAACCTTTGCTTCCCGTGGTTACAATTTCTATGCAACACATCTGATTTGACCTTCTCTTTTTCCACAGATTCCCAGAACCACTCCACACCCAGGCCAGGTGAGTTCTGCTGCCCCTTAACTTATGCATGTCCCTTCTGTCCTTGCTCACTCACCTCAACGGTTCCTAACTCCTAGCTCCAGAGGGGTTGTGAATTAATGATTTGCTTCTCCAGGACCTTTCCTGATAACTTTAGGGTATGTAGGTGATACCAGTTGAGCCCACAACACCTCGGTCCTCTTGTGTGGTTCAGAGGGTGAGAAACATCCTGGCCCCTCACATGGGTTGCTAGTAGGGCTTACCTTGGTATTTTCAATCTCCTCATATACATGTGAGAGATGGACAATGAATAATGAAGACCGAAGAAGAGTTGATTCTTTTGAACTGTGGTGTTGGCAAAGAATGCTGACAGTACTGTGGACTGCTAAAAGGACTAACAAACCTGTCCGGGAGAAGTGCAGCCAAAATGCTCCTTAGAAGCTAGGATGGCCAGACTTTGTCTCACCTCCTTTGGTCATGTTGTCAGAAGGAACCATTCTTTGGAGAAGGATGCCATTCTTGGTAAATTGGAGGGTCAACAAAAGAGTAGAAGGCCCT